AATATAGAGAAAACTAATTAACTGTTCAACTCTTACATTATTGTGTTTTAGTATTTACCATTATTTACCATAAAATATAAAATGAAAGTATGTTCAGACAATTTTCCTGACAGAGCACTATCGTTTAAAAATCAGAATTTTTCATTTAACTTAAGCTGCAATGCTCAAAGACTTATATTATTTAATGTAAATAATACACATTTTTCAAACAATGATCCATCAAATTATGTTGAATTTAATGTTAAGTGTTGTTTTATAATAGAGCATCAAGAATTTAAAAAAAAAAAAAAACTTGATAACTTAAAAAAAAGAACTTCAGCACGAAATAAAAAAAATAAAGATTTATTTGAAAAATTTACTTCAACCAGATCAGTTATTACTATAAAACAAATTTGTATATAATCATAATCCAAACAAATGGTGTTATTGCAATTTACTTGTATATAAACATTTATTTTAAAAATGATAGATCTTGTGACTTTTATACTGGCCTTGTCTGTCTACTGTCAATGTGTTTATATGTCAATGTGTTTAATACTGTCAATGTTTCACCAGTTAATGCAGTATCACCATTAATCAAAAGAAGATAAAGTGATATTAACAAAACATCTACTGCTGTTTTTTGGATTTTAAAAAAACCCTTAACTACTTGGACCAAAAAAAATGTTATGCAGCAAAAATGAATTTTTAATGATGCTACTACTTGGATTACTGACAACTGATCTTGCTAACAGGTTTAATATATCTTCAGGATTAGCAAATGCAATATTTTCTTTATGGTTGAAAGCTTCTAGCTCACTTTTAAAGCACATGGTTTTTGTTCCATGTAAAGATGTTATAAGACAGGCAATGCAAAACAGATTTGAAAAACTAAATTATTTAGACTTATACTAAATTTCAGATATAACTGAGTTTATTATAAAAGCCCCTAAAAGTTTTGACTTACAGAAACTAACAAGGAGTAAATACAAACATTACAACAATATAAAAACATTAGCACCCGTAGCTCAGAATTCATCAATAATTTTTTTAAATAATTTCTAAAGCTTACAGAAGCTAAATTTTGGATAAATAAATTACAAATCGCAACAAATGTTTAGATAGCATTCTAAAATACTCTTGTATAATGTATGATTAAGGGTTTAATATTAACACTAAATGTTCTGAGCCTTACATCTATAAAACAGTTCCCTCTGGCTGGAAAGGTACAGCTCAAATGACTTGATAAATGACAATGAAAAATAAAAAAATAAAAAGAAATTAGAAAGAAATAACTTATTTGGATTAGGATATTGGTTGAACAAGTTATTAGAAGGTTAAAGATATTATTGTACTATATATGTTATACAATTGTTACTTTATATATTGTACTATATTATTATTGTACTATATTATTATTGTACTATATATATATATATATATATATATATATATATATATATATATATATATATATATATATATATATATATATATATACACACACACACACACACACATAAATTTAGCTTTAAACACTACATTAAGTACATTAGAGTACAAAATAAGATAGTTAAATTATTTTTTTACAAATCCAAAAGTCAATGTTTTGAGGTATTTTTTTTTTACTTAATTCTTAATATGTTATTTAAAATGGATTAGGCAGGCTCTTTTTTTTAATAATTATATAAGACTGATGGTTTAATAATATTGATAAACCTTAGTTTTGCTTTGTAAATCTCGAACAAATTACTGTTGAAATAATGTTTGTTTACGTTTTTACTTCCATTTCTGCACGCGCATAAATTTTATATCGGAACTGTGAAAAGGTATATTTAATTTCCTAATTTGTTTGTTTTGCTTTCCTTGTTTTTGTAACTTAGTTTTTTTCACAACGCTGCAAAACTTGCAAACATTTGTGACCAAATTGTTTAAAATAAAATAAAATGTTTCGACATACATTTATTTTTATCCTCATTAATCCTTCTAAGCATAAAAAAAACTATTTCAGAGTCTAAACAGACTAAGTAAATTAGAAAACAAACAACTAGGGCTGTACTGGAATGGGTTTTTTCAATTCCGGCTGGAACCGGATTTGCCGGAATTATAAGTATAATTCCAGCCGGAACAAGAATTATATTTATGTTATTTTTTACTTTCAATATTAAATTGGATTGTACCTCATCATTTTTGCTGTATAATATATATTTAACCTATTTCATTCATTTTGTTCTTGTTTAAATAATTTTATTTTTATTAGTTTTTATTTATTGTAAATTTTTAACTGCATAATTTTTTTTAACTGCATTTTTATTTATATTTAAAATTAATTCTTCATTTTTTATTTGTCCATTTAGATTAAAATAAAATTTTTTACTGTATTTGTACTGCATCCTATAGTTTTTAACTATTTAAACTTACATTTGAAAATCTAAAAATGTCTTTTCCTTCGTTTGTTTGGAGATATTTTAAAACAAATAATGCCACAGATACATCAGCAGAATGTAAATTGGTAGTACCCCAAAAACATTTAGCACAACACCACTTCATATGGATTTAAAAATATATCATATAGATACATATGATGAGAACAAGAAGAACAGAAAAGGGAAAAAAAATCAAAAGCCAAAGGGTCCCACACTGGAATAAATATTGCTAATTTATTTGATGTGATGCTAGTTGATTGGAATATTTCCAAAAAGAAAATACATATTGTCCTTCGAGACAGTGCTTATAACATGTAAATTGGAATTGACTTGATGGAGTCCTCAGGCATCTCATGTTTTATTCATCAACTGCAGATTGTTATCACGACGTCCTTTTTGACCAGGTTGCAGTATACGACATGATAAAGAAATGCAGAAGCATCTGCACTCATTTTAACCATTCGAGTTTGGCTTGCACCAAATTAAAAAAATACAGAAAGAATTAGATTCACAAATCTCAACACCTTTATTACCAATCCAAGATGTTCCGACAAGATGGAATAGTACATATTTAATGTTAGATCAAGTTGAAACTCTCAAAAGATCTATACAACTTTACACAGCAGACCATCCTCATTTAGTAAATTTAATATTAACTTCAAGTGAATAGGAGTTAATAGAAAATGTATTAGGACTTTTACAATCATTTTTTATGATTACTGATACAGTCAGTAAATCAAAATCAATGCTGTCATCAGTAATTAGCCATATTCGAGCATTACATAATTTTCTTGGAAGCCTTGTTTCTATTTCTAGAGTCCAATCAATAAAGAAGATGCTAAAAGAGACTATTGAAAAAAGATTAATGAGTAATGTTTCATTAAAAGGTCACTTTAATGTACTAATGAGTCAAGTACATGTTTTGTCCACAGCTGTTGATCCAAGGTAAACTGTCACTTTTCTCTGATGAGCAAGAACATTTGGCTAAAAGTTGGCTTTTGTCTGAATAGATAAACAAAATTGTCAAATAGATAAACAAAAATAGATTAATATGAATAATATGTCAGAATCAGATTCATCTTCCTCCGATAGTTCTAATTCCTCACCAGCCACTAAAGGTTGTCAGCCATCTACATTAGCTTTATATGCATCAAATTTAAGAATGACAATCGTAAAAAATTTTCTTAATTGCTATGAGCCAGAAGAAGAAAGAAAAAGTAGAAAAAAGAAAAGAAAAATTATTGGAATAACAGACGAGGAGATAAAAAAAGAAATAGATTGTTTTATGGCTGGGAAAGGAATAGGTAAATTAGAAAATGAAGAGGCAGTATTAAAATGGTGGAGCACTAATAAGGATTACTATCCTCATATATGCTGTATAGCAAGAAAACTTCTGTCAGCCCCTGCTTCATCTGTTTATTCAGAGAGACTGTTCTCAAAAGCAGGTAACATTTTTGAGGAAAAAAGAGCTAGTTTGTTGCCAAAAACTGGAGAGCAACTCTTATTTTTGCACCACAATATTCCTAAATTTCCAGAAATCCTTAATTAATTCATTAGTGCCCACTAATTAATTAAGTAAGGATTTCTGGAAATTTAGGAATGTTATGTTTCCAGAAATAAAATTTCATTTTGTTTATTTATAAATTTGTATTTTTTACCTAGGTTAAGCTATTGTTGGTTATTTTTTACTATGGTTTAGCTATTGTTGGTTATTTTTTACCTAGGTTTAACTGTTGCTGGTTATTTTTTTACCTTGGTTTAGCTATTGTTGGTTATTTTTTACCTAGGTGTAGTTGGTTATTTTTTACTAATAAAGTTAGTTTATTGTTTTATTGTTGGTTATTTTTTTAATTAAGTTGAAAAAAAATCCGGCATTCAGGCTTTAATTATTATAATTCCGGCCGGAACCGTAATGAACTGAATATCACAAATTCCAGCTGGAACGGAATTCCGGTACACCCCTACAAACAACATACCACAAATATTTATTTATTGAAACTATTAATAAAACTAATCAAGTTGAACTAAGAACAATAACAAATTATCCTTTAGAGTTGAGAAAGATTTCTCAGCTCTAGTTTGCTTGCAGAACTTGCTTGAAAAACTGCTTGAACTTTACAAAGCAAAAGGCTAGAAACTACTTAAAAGTGGCATAAAAATATGTTAAATGGTAAATGTTAACTGTAGTATTAATATTTAGATAATAATAATATGGTTTTATAATGAGATATTATATTTATATATTAATATATCATATTATATTTTCAAGATCAATATAAGTATTTTTTGTTGAAAAACAACTGAGTTTTGTTATAAAACCATCTATGATTGCCATTCGCAATCAATTATTTTGTGCCTTAAAACCAATACAAAATTGCAAATTTGTGCCTTAAAACCAATACAAAATCTTTTATCTATACGGTAAATAAATATATATAATATTTTGTTTTTTTGATGATACAAAATAATATACAATCGTTTAATAAATATGTTTAATAAATAAAAGTTATTATTAATGATGATAGGTTTAATAAAAGGTTTGTGTAAAAAATAATCAAGTTTTTTAATGTTTTAAAAAGCTTTTTTTAATTTTAGAATGAGTTAAGTAAGCTCAAAACACGCTCAGAGGAAATAAATGAAGAAAATGCTAAACTCTATGAAAGAATGCGTGAAAGTGCTATTGAATCCACAGAATTAAAACCAGAATCGGTTTGTAATGAAAATACAAAAAGAGAATTTTATAGTCAAACAAGGCAGCACAGTTATAATGAAGAAAATCAATATAATATGGATGTTAGTGGAAGTTTTTATATTTATGTATGATATATATATATATATATATATATATATATATATATATATATATATATATATATATATATATATATATATATATATATATATATATGTATATATATATATTTAAATTTATATATAGTTATATTTATATATATTTAAATTTATATATATTTATATTTATATATATTTAAATTTATATATAGTTATATTTATATATATTTAAATTTATATATAGTTATATTTATATATATTTAAATTTATATATAGTTATATTTATATATATTTATATTTTGTATATAGTTATATTTTATATATTTTTTTATTATGTATTGTTTATGTGTCATTTTTTTCAAGGTATCTACAATGATGAAGATGTCTGGAATAAATACAATTCCACAAATTGAAAAAAGTTACAGTCTAAATGATGAAATGGTATTTGCAATTTTTATAAAAGTTGTTTTAATATGAGCATGCAAATTATTGTTCAAATAATATTAAATTGCAGCATGATAAAATTATGTTTTTTTATAGATTTTTCTGCCTTTAATATAGTATGTATTATTTATGTATTTAAAATTTTTTTAATTGTTTTTCAATAACATTATTATAAGTAACTCGATCTAGGCAAATTAAAGTCAGTTTACCACTTCCCAGTCCATTTCGTAGAGACTCAATCCTACATTTTATTTGAGGAATGCTTGCCGCTTGCCAATTATTTTTGTATACAAAGCACATCAAATTTGTCCAAAAGTCCTCAATTAGTCATGTTTTTGCGACATTATGGTGGATTATTTACTTTTGTTACACTTTTTATAATTTATATTTTTTGTCTCAAAGGTTTGATTTGAGCTAACTAGATATTCTTTATTTGATTGTTTTCTACTTGTAAAATCTAATCTTTCTCAAAAATGTGACTTATATACTGATGCAATCGAATGTTTGAGCTGCTTGATGGTAGAAACTTCATTTGAGTGATCAAACATATTTTTTGAGCTTGTCTAAGTTCTTGGTGTTTATATTTTCAGCTTTGTGACTACTTTTTTTTTCTTTGATATCCTAAAATATTTTTTACACGACAACACAATAGATGGTCCATTTATTACTCCTTTATCTAAAAAAATGTTTTATAGTAAAAATTTCTAGATTTTCACTTCCTTAGGAAATCCACTTTTTCTTCTTGCATGCTTTTTCTTCTTGCATGCTTTTTCTTCTTGTATGCTTTGTAAAAAGTGTGAACTTAAAACTATTTAATATATTAAATAGCCATATACACAATATTTAATATATTGTTTTATTTTAAATGAACAAATGATTTTTATTGAAATAAAGTGACTTGAAATGTGTCTAATTTTTTAATTAGAATTCGAGTTTTATCTGTGCTAAAGTTTACCAGCCACTGAGAGCCCCACACTGTAGCAGAAGTGAGATCCTTTTCCAGTTTGAATGCCCCATATATAATCAAAACAAATCAAATATATTCTGAATAAAGTTGTTATATCAAGGTTATTAAAAAATAAGTAATAAATACTAATATGAATTAAACACTTATCAAAATCAATAATAATAAAAAAATAATTATTATAATACAAGTAGGAGTAAATAAAAATAATAGTAGTGATGAGGGTGATTAAAAGTAATGGTAAAGATTATAAAAAGTATGTAATATACTATAACAATAATAATAATAATAATAATAATAATAATAATAATAATAATAATAATAATAATAGCAATAATAACAACAACAATAATAATATAACAAAAGCAGTAATATAAAAATAATTATAGCAAAATTAACAACACTAAGAGTAATAATATTTATTATGAAATAAATATAGTAATAATAACAATAGTAGTGGTGAAAAGAGTACTAATGAAAATATTTCAGTTAAAAGAAGATTAAAATAATAAATTTAACAAAAGATATTAAAATTAGTATTATAAAACAACAGAAAAGAGAAAAAATGGAAGCTCAGAATTAGATAAATAAGCTATAGAAAGGTATAAGATTTATAAACAATATTTTTATAAAATATAGTTAAAGAGAGCATTTTTAAATTTTGAGAATGATCTAAAAGATTTTAGTTGGGAAGGAAGATTGTTCCATGTTTTTATGTTTTTATGTTGTATGGATTCATAGCCGTAATGAACAGTTTGATATTTAGGTACAGATAATTTAAAATTGCAAGAAGATTATAGAATATAGTTACAATTTTCTCTATAATTAAAATAGTTGATAAATGTAAAAAAGTAGGTTATTATGATTTTAGTTCCAAACAAATAAGCAGTTTGATAGGTGAATAAGGTCACATAGTTTAAAGACTTTAGGTAAAAAATAGAGTATGGTACAGTTTATTAGTATGTTGGAAATAAATTAACTTTAGAGCTTTATTTTGGAGATAAGTTAGTCTTGTAAACTATTTAGATTGTCCCCAAATTTGACAAGCATATTTGAGATAAGAGTGAAAGATAGTATGATATTAGTTAAGCAAAGTTTCATGATCAACTCAATGACAGATTTTAGCATGCTGTTTGATCTGCCTAATTTCAATGTTAAGTCTTGAAGATGCAAAAGATAAATTAGAGTCTATTTTGATTCCAAGATATTTAATAGAGTTAACTGGTTTTATTATCTGTTCACTTAATCTGAAATATAATTGCTTATTTTTGTTTGAACAGATTTAAATATAATAGTTTCTGTTTTTTTAGAGTTAAGGAATAGTTTATAGTAACGGAGCCATTGAACAATATTAGGTAGATCATGATTTACACTTTTGTTAAGTTTTTTTAAGTGATTTGTTAATTATGAGCAAGTTGGTATCATCCGCAAATTGATACGCAGTAGAAAATTTAAGTGAAACATTTAAATATTAATAAAAATAAGGAAAAGGGATGCTCCTTAAATTGTCCCTTGTGAAACACCCTTAAAAGATTTAGTTCTAAGTTAATACCATTAATTGAAACAAATTGTGTTCTATTACAACGATAAAAGGAAAACCAGAGAAAAATAATACCTCCAATACCATAGTGTTGCAGTTTTTCTAGGAGGATTGTCTGCTCAACTATATCAAAATGTTTTTTTTTATATCAATAAACACTCCACACGTAAAGTGTTTATTATCGATGGCTTGTCTATCTTTCTCTGTTATTTCTGTTAATGAATGAGTTGTTGAGTGTTTGTTGCACAAACCATATTGTTATTTGTAAAAACATTTATATTTCTCTGAAAAATGTTTGAGTCTTCGGAACATTACTTTTTCAAACAATTTACTTAAGTTGGAAAGAAGAGAAATAAGTTGATAATTGGAGTAGTCTAGAAGAGAACCCATTTTATTTATAGGATTACTTTGACTACCTTGAAAGCTTCTGAAAAAATACCATTTTTTATTATACCATAATTATTCTTTTTAGGTGCAAAATCGATGAAAAAAGAATTAGTACTAGGTATTTTAAGAAAGTTGCTAAAAACACATTTAAAAGGAACAATATTTTCAGATAGTTTGTGGTGAATAATCTCAAATTGGTATTAAATTAGCAACACATGATCTGAGATTATATTTTCATTAGCAACACATGTGATCTGAGATTTTCATTAATTTTAAGATTAAAAAACTTAGTATTAGTAGAAAATTTGATATAATATTTTCCTTAATTTCAAGTATTCTTTACATTATTGATGTTATTATTAAAATATATATATATATATATATATAAATCAAGCCTTCCCGGGAAGCGGGTGCGGCCGCATGCCTTGTTCGTCCACGTTTAAAGTAATTTTTTTTAGAATAACTGACCACAGTAGTTTGCAACTTATAAAGCGTTTCAATAATTCGCAGCAAAAAGCTAAACTTATTTACTAAGGAAAAAAAACAATTCTTAAATAACAAAGCTTTAACAAAATATTAAGTTGAATTAAATAAACTAGAAAATTTATTAATTAAAAAAAGTAAATTAAAAAAAAATTTTTTTACAAAATTTTTATTCAACTTTTTTATTCTTTTTTTTTAGTCGTTGATGTAAAAAAATCTTTTATAACAATTTAACAACAATTGAAAGTTTTGATATGCAAATTTTGTTATTTTTTTTCGAGTAAATATAATAAACATTTATTCGTTTATTACGTTTATTCATTTTTATGTCTTTTCACTTTTAAAAAGTTTTTGCTATATTTGACGCTTTTTTTCAATACTTATTTAATAGGAAAATAAGAAAATAAATTCTTATTTATTTGTAAATAATATTGTTTGATTAATAAATTTTGTTAATGATGGAATAAGTTAAATAAAAGAATAACTTCTTTAATAAACGTATGAAATTGTTTCTTTTATAATGTCTAATTTCCAATGTTAATACAAGTTACTAGAGATAATGAACATAACGATTTCTCTGTTTAAAAAAACAAATTTAAAAACTTAAACAAAAGTTTTAAATAGGCTCCTAAAAATTTTGTAAAAAATTTTTTTTTTAATTTAGAATTTTTACAAGTTAAAGGAAAATATCCATCAACACTGAGATCACAAGATGAGACAGCTGAATTTAAATTAGTCTCACAAAGAGAAAATATGTCTGGTGAGCTTTGCAAGATATATATACTCAACAGCAGAAAAGTTACTTCAAAAATGACGAATATTAGTGAATGGTAGATTTAGAGAATTTGGTTATAACGACAGTTTTTTTGTGATAATAGAATAAGTTGCCTAGTTATAAAAACAGTGACACAAGTAAATCCCATGCATTGAGTTATGAGGATCCAGCATTCAATATCCTAAACTGGAAACAATGTATTAAAAATACATCTGCACCAGCCTAATAGATGAAGAAGGGTTGTGAGGCTGGTCAACAGATAAAATCTGTTTACCTCTTTGCCTAGAAGGCCTTCTACAAGACAGTAGCCGGATACTTTTAACATCTGCCCAAGAAGAGTATTTTTATTGAGACACCATCTCTAGCCTTTCAGCCAAGAGCCCCAAGGCAGGGCTTGTTTTAAGTTGGATTTCGTTTCTCCTAGCCATTGCCTAAAAAAGTGTATCCTACAAGGCAGCAGGGCATGAAGCAGGTTGTACTGGGTTACATGTTACCAGTAGCAGGATAACCTTGCCTGTATGTACTTACAAGTACATAACCTGTATGTACTTATAACCTGACCTATGTAATTATGACCTGATATATGTACTTATGACCTGATATTTGTACTTATGACCTGATATATGTACTTATAAGTACATAACATGTATATACTTATATCCTGATCTATGTACTTATGACCTGATATATGTACTAATGACCTGACCTGTATGTACTTAAAAGTACATAAGTTTGATGACAAACCATTTTTCCTGATATTCCTTCCTGATTTTTTCAAAACTCAACCCAATTTCCCTGATGGTTCCCTGATTATTTTGCAGATATCTGAATCCTCTGACTTTTTTCTGTTTTCCTTTTTTGTTTAATTAACAAAATAAAAATAAATTATATGCATTATAATAAATTTTTTTATATAGTAAACATATATTTTTTATATTTTAAAGTAAACATTCCACTGGTTCCAAACATGATTTCCTCTAATGAACTTTTTTTTTCAAATGCTACACTTATTCTATTTGGTTTTTTTCCTTTTCTTTTTTTTTAACCTAATAAATGAATTTTAAAATAATTGACAAAATATTATTAGCTTCTAATTTGCTAAAACTGCTTTCCAAAACAAAACTTAAAATCTTCCCATATAAATCATCATCATTTTGCAGCAAATCATTTTCCATTATATAATTTATAAGACACCTTCTATTCATTGACTATTCATTGACTATATATTGACTATATTCAAATGACTGTTAGTTATTTTGTAATAAAGTAAAATATTTTGTAAATATGTAGTTAAAGCTTTCTTGCAGGTTTTTTACGAGTAACTAAGAAATTTACTACCTTTCCTATATAATATTCTATCTAATATATGCTCTTAGTGACTTCTAATGTAGATCTAGTTTGCGATATAAAATATACACATATATATTTGTGTTTTTTTCATTATTTGGAAATAATAATAGTATTGAAATTATACTTTTATGCGAGTTTTTTATTTTATTATTGTTGCCAATTAAACATATTTACTGAAAAACGATTAAATGTATGAAATTCAATAATATTTTACAACTATGTTTTTGTAAGATGTTTTGATACAATCCAAACATAATAACCATAATTTTTTTTTGTAGATGCAGATGAAAAAATTGTATGATGTTAAAACATCACATTTACAGACTTTATTAAAATCTGCTTTGAAAACAATAAAGCAACAGCAGAAAGAAATTGCAGAACTTCGGTCTGAAGCCAGGTAAAGTTTTAATCTCTTTTTTTCTCTTTGACTTTTTTTTTTTTTTTGATTTTAAGATTATCAAACTTGTTAAAGTTTTTGTGTTGATTGGCTTTTGTGACAAGCATTTGTATTTTGAGGATTTTTGAGGGAAGTTTTGGAAAGCCTGTCATGCCATGTTCATGGAAAGTTCATAAAACTTATAAAACTGAAGACTTAATTTTTTTTTTGTTTTATGTTAAAGATAAAAATGTATTATTTATGTTAAAAAGAGTTGCAAAGCAAGTGATTTGTTATTCTCTTTTATTTATTTTTTGCAGGGTTTTTTTCATTTTCTTTTTCCATTTATTTTTAGATTATACAGAATCCCTGTGAAAGATGTAAGTGTTTAAAATTCCTAAATAATGGAGTATATATACTTTTTTCAAAGTATTTATTCTTTAATTCTTTTGGTTTTCTTTGTTTTAAACTTAATTTTTTAGTATTTTTTTAATTAATAATTTTTTTTTATAAATGAATTTTTTTTAAATGTGGTCAGAAAAGTTTCTTTATGTTTTTATAAATACTGTAAATGATGAGTTACCATGTTTTAGGGAAATAAAATGAAGTGTGAGCTTAGTATAAAAAAAATGTTAAATTGCAAAAAATGACACACATCCTTACAATTCAGTTTTACTTATTTTATCAAATTTTCCATCTGTTTGTATCTTACTGATTCAAATGACCACTTCCCTTCGATTAAATTATATTGGCTTCCCAAGCTGAGCTTTAGTTGTTTATCTGTGAATTGTTTTTGTTTTTTATTTTTTATTATGTTATTAATTTACTAAAAAGAAATAAAAGTTAAATTTTTCTTAACATAAATCAAACTTGTTGAGCATTTAAATTGTTTTTCTGTGAATCATCACTGCTAATCAAAATTTTGTAATTATAGGGTTCAAAAGAAGGGAGAAAAAAAAGACACACAATTTTGCAGAGATTTAATAATTTAAGTTGATTTCAACAAAATTTTCTACTATTAGGAAATTTAAGTTATTTTCTTAATAGTAACTATAATTAAGGCAAAACTGAATCTTGATCCCGAAATAGGAAACAGCCTGATTTTGCTAAAAACCGGTTAATCAGTAGCGGCACCAAAATGGCAGATAAATCCAAATTGTGAAAATAAAGAAAATAAGTAAATAAATAAATAACTAAAACAAAACACCAAAAGAACATGTTTTATTGCAAAATAGAGTAGAAAAACTCAAAAAGTATTTATAGAAAAAGACCATTATGCATCTATTACTCATTTCTGCAGTTTTGTTAATTTAACAAAAACATTGTTTAATACGCATAACATTAAATAGCAAATGTAATTATGTAATCTAACTATCCGGATCATATCCAGGATCAGCAAATACCAAATCAAAAAATCCAGAATCAGTAGAAAAATGCCAATCAGTTATGCCTTAACTACAATATTGCTTTATTGGTTTGGTAGTTTGATATTAGGTTTGATGGTTTCATATCAAAGAAATAAAAGATATCAAAGAAATAAAAGTCAAATAAATATTGGCTTTTTTAATGCAATTACATTTTATTGAATAGTGATATTCAGAAATGATAAGTAGATAGAGGAAAGATAATGATTTCATATTTTTATATTGTAATCATATTGTTCTGTTAGGATGTTAACCCAGGGTGTTCAAATTGCTCAGAAGATCCGAGTACTTCTCAATCAATAAATAATATTTCTGCACGTGCAACAAAAAAGTTAAAGGGGTATGTGAATCATTTGTTATGACTTAAATTATTCTTTACTCATTGTGTTTTTAAAATTTATTTTTATAGATTTACATTTAATATAACATAAATAATTTATTTTTATAGATTTACATTTTATTTTTTTTTTATTTTTTAATTATTCACCTCCCCAAGGCCTCTACAGTCAAGGAGGCTACTCCTTTTTTTTTTTTTTTTTTTTTTTTTTTTTTTGTTGTAAATCGTGGTACAACCCTCTCTCAACTCTTTAACTCCGAAACACAAACCTTGACAAGCAAGACCGCTGCGCAGAGAAATTAAGTTGAGCATGGTACTTCCAGGGACGTGGTGGGAGTCGAACTCCGAACCGCTGGCTTTAATATAACATAAATAATTTATTTTTATAGATTTACATTTAATATAACATAAATAATTTATTTTTATAGATTTACATTTAATATAACATAAATAATTTATTTTTATAGATTTACATTTAATATAACAAAACATTAGAATTAAAGATTTTTTAAAAATTCAGAAAAAAAGATTTTGTAGAAAGTTTACAGATTCAACAGAAACTTCTAAATGAATGTAAAAAAAAAGAAGCTGAAGCGTATGAACAAGTCAAAAAAAGTTGTGAGCTGGTTGAACAGTTGCAGCTCGAGAAACAAGAGGTTTAAATGTTTTAACTTCATTTAATCATGTCAATGTGTTTTAATCGTGTCAATGTGTTTTAAGCTTTAAACATCTTTTTTTGTTTTACCAAACTTTTGAACAATTGTTCAAAATTTTGGTAAAACAAAATATCTTATAAATGTAATCTTATAAATAATTCAAGCAATTACAATAAAATTCCACTTTGTTTGCAGTCAAGCACTAGTTTTATTTTCCATCTTTCTTCTTTACATTATAATAGTTTTTTATTTTTTAAAGACTTCTAAAGATGTTGGCAATTTTCGATCTTTACAAAAACATCAAAGAAGTTCTTTAAATAGCTTTGACAATTTTTGTTTTTTGTTGCAGGTTTTTGTTCAAAACAAACAACTGAAAGAAGATTTATTAGTGTATCAAGAAAAATATAATTGTCTTCAAAAGGAAATGCAGCAGTTGAATCAGAATTTCAGTAGCAAAACAAAAAAAGAGATGCAATTTCATATTGAAGATTTAGAAAAGAAGGTAACACTACTATTTCTATTTGAATTTATTAATGTCTAGTATATTAAAGATTTTCTGTTTAAATTTTTTTAATTATACATTTTTATATTTTATTTTTACAGAATGACGATCTCTCTTTGTCATTAAATGCATTGTCTTTTAAATTAGAAAAGGTCTCAAGGGAAAAAACATCAATAGGCCATGAATGCCAGACCATAAGGGATGCATTTGTCTTGCATAAAAAAGAAACTTTTACAGTAACTATTTTTTGATTAAGTAATACTGTCATGTTTATCATAACATTTTTAAAATAAATATTGTGTGGGTATGCAACATGTAAATTTTTTATTTTGAATAAACCTTTTTTAAGCTCATTGAAAGTTTGCAAAAAGATGTACTAGAAGCCAATAAGAGATGTACTCTAGCTGAACAAGAACTCAAACAACTGCATTTAAAAAATAAACTTCAAGAGAAGCAAAAACTCAAGGTATGAATGAATTTGACACAATTTTGGTTAAATTTTGACTAAATATTAATTAGAATAATCTTGTAATGTTAGAAAGTATATTATGGCAGGAAATCGAGCAGTTAAAAGTGGAAGTTGAAAGCATTCGACAAAGGAATAGAGCTTCAGAAAAAACTGTACAAGATAGCCAGGCGCAAGTTGTTTCTCTCACACAAGAGCTTAATTCTTGCACTCATCGTGTAAGATTATTTTTCAATGTGATAGTAACCTTAATAACAATACTCTTTTCGAAAAATTTTATTTGCTATTTGTTTTTTTTATCTTATTATAACAGCTTCAAACTGAATATATTCAAAAAGAAAATTTACTAAGAAGCTTTACTGAGGAAAAAAAAACATTTATTTGTGAAAAAGAACAAAATGAACAACACTTGAATGCTCTGCTTCAAGAAAAAGATATGGAAATATGTATTTTATTTTATTTATTTTTTTAGCTTTTTTCATTCAAAAATAAATTTTTTAGTGATTATAATTAATGACTCAGTTTTTGTTTTATAGATGACCTAAAAAAAGAGTTAACTTCTGTTATTGAATCACAGAAAAGTATAATTAAGAAATATATGGTTGAATGTGATTCTCTATCTTCAAACCTTGCTCAAGAAAGGACCGCTCATAAGTGAGTTTCTTTTTTATATATTTTGTAAAATTAGACAAATTTAAAATAATTAAGCTTGTATAAATTATTATAAATTTAATGTACACTGTAATAAGTGCTAGATAGAGTAGGCGCAGGGCCCAGCGCGAGTTTAGTTTCAAGGCCCTCAAATAAAAATTTAAAAGTAGGGGGGCAGTGAAGAATACAAATGTCCTCCTCCAGAAGCAATGCTTACTGCTCTGATCTTCTGCTTCATGTTTTTTTAGTTCTTCTTTTTTTAAATTTGTTTGGATTATTTCTTATCCTGAAGATAAGAAATTTTATTTAAATTTTTATGTATATGTTTCATATTGTGGTTACTTTAAAGATTTAAAAGCATAGTTTATTTAAAATTTTGTTTTAAATAAATTACATTTTCTTCTCATTCCTATGAATGAATTTTAAAACATTTTGTATTGTCTTCTAAATTATAAAAACACATCACTGCATGTAGGAAAATTGATAATTTTGCAGCATCTTAATAATCTCCTATGCGTGATATTTAAAAATATGATGATGGCAAGTGAGCCAAAGAGGAGTTTTTAAAAGTTTGCATTGCAATCGCTCATAGATTTTGAATCTCAGAATCTCAAATGAAAATGAATTATTATAAATTATCTATCCTGCCTAATCAACTAGTTTTAACTTATGAGAGCTGCTAACTAGAAAATGTCTTAAACTGAATCAGTCTGGTTTTAACATAATATTTCTTATTTGGAAAATGAATATATAAATATTATCCATTGATTGTTTGAACAAGTAAATAAGAGATGCCATTATTAAAATAGTTTGAGTTTATAATACTAATTTATTTGACTACCACTACCAATGCGGCAATGGCATAATGATAGAGGGCTTGCCCTGTAAGCAAGAAGTTCCAAGTTCCAACCCATCATGTCCCTGGCTGTACTTTACTCAACTTGTTTCTTCATGCAGCAATCTTATTCTTCAAGTATTACAACAAAAAATGTATTGATTTTTAAAACGAATGAAAAAATTAAATAATTATTGGAACGATTAGTTTTTAATAAGTAATAAGCATAATAAACATAACAAACATAATAAACATAATAAACATAATAAACATAATAAACATAACAAACGTAATAAAAATAATAAACATAACAATTTTTTCAGTTTAAACAACATGTTTTTCAACATGTTACTCAACTAGTATTTGAATGAAAAATAAATTGATTTTGCTTTAATGTAGCCAATAAAGACTCTTTTTCATTATTAGACAACACCCAAACTTCGGATCAGTTAAATATCAAGCGTTACACATAATTTGGGAAAAACCTGATCTTAATAAATAGGTTTTTAATTACACACGATCCTTTCAGCTAATCAACATTATCTAATTTTCTATAATGTATGTATTACACTAATTATCTACATTTTCCATTATTCTATGATGTAGGTTTTAAAATTTTACACTTTCTATGTTTTCTTTTGTTTGACTAACAAATAAAATAAATGTTTGTTTTCTCTAGATTTTGTATTTAGTAGTTTTGTACTTGAAAATTATGTTTCTATAATCAAAAAATGTAGTTTAAATTAAAAAAAATTAAAGCAACCACTATTAAGTTGGGAGTTACTAGGAAAAAAAAGAACAGAGTTATAGAGCAAGGAAACGGTTGACAGAAGAGTTGAAAAGTTGAAGGTTGTATGAGTCAGGAAAACATGAAGATGGGAGAGAGTTCCAAAGGATTGAAGTGCAAGGAAAAACACTAGATGAATAAAAGTTTTTAGAGCATGCAGGGACAGATACAGTAAACGAATGAGACTTAGCTGAATGACAAGTAATCTAATGCTCGATAAAATCTTTCAGTTACAGCAGTTAGCAAGTCGGCCGTAGAGCGAGAGGATCGAAAACCGTATTGATTGTCTGACAGTAGTTTATTTGACTCAAAATGAGATGTGATGAATTTGTTGATCAAAGACTCAAAGACCTTGCTAATAACAGAAAGAAGACTGATCAGACGATAATTGGAGGGGTCAGAATTTTCTCCAGAGTTTTTGAATATTGGAACCACAGATGCCATTTTCCAACAAGCAGGAAAACAAGACTCAGTCAAACACTTGTTAAATAGTTTAGAGAGAATTGAAGAAAGTTCTGAAGAACAATTCTGCAAGACTGTGACAGGAATGTTGTCTGGACCACAAGCTGTAGACGAGTTTAATTGAGATATGACTTTAGCAACAGAAGCCGGAGTGATTTAAATGTCTAATGATGGGTCAACCTGTTTGACTGGAATGGAAGGAAGAGAATGTCCATAAGATTCAAGAGTGGAATTAGAAGAAAAGTTCTTTGCAAATAGTTCTGCCTTATCCTTGGGAGAGGTAATAAGATCAGTCCCATGAATGAGAGATAGAATGTTAGATCTACCCTTGTTAATAATGCTGTTGAAGATTTTCCAAAAGTCTTTAGAGCCTAACTTCTGTGATAAGATGCGAGATTTAGTGAACTGAGAATAATGGAGTTTAGTATCAGAAAGCACCTTTTTACATTGATTTCTTGCAATAATAAATAGCCGTTTGTTCTCAAGAGAGTTGTTATTTTGAAAAAGATGAAAAAAATGATTACGATTGGATATAGCAGCCGCACAAGAAGGAGAAAACCATGGAGTAGAATGAGGCTTGACTGGAAACCGACAAGAAGGAATAAAAGCTTCCATTCCAGCCTGAATCCAAGAGGTTACATAGGAGGCGCATTTATCAGCTGAGAGAGAAAAAACATCAGCCCAAGGACCATCACGAAGAAAATCACGAAAGGAATCCCAGTCAGCTTTAGGGTAGTAGTAGGTGGTGCGATGATAAGGTGAGCCCAAAAAAGAAGTACGAGAAGAAAGATTTATAGAGATCATTGCATGGTCAGAACCACCTAAGGGAGAAAAGGGAGAAACTGAACTAAGCTAGGGCCAGAGACAAGACATAAGTCAAGGAGTGAAGATAAATGATTAGGGTTGTCAGGAAAACGAGTCACAAAGTTAAATATCTGAGTAAGAGATTGAGAAACGCAGAAGTTAAAGGCTTTAGTACCAGCAGGATCAGTGGTGTTAGAGCCAAGCCATTTAATGTGATGGGCATTAAAATCACCAACAACAACAATATTGGCAGAGGGGTAAAGAGAGAGGGCATGGTCAATTTGATCAGAGATAACATCTAAAAGAGTGCAATCATGGGAAGAAGGAGAACAATAAAGAACAAAGAGAAAGGTGATAGAGTGAAGAGGTGCTAGGCGAAAACACATAAAAGAATGGTCACGACAAATAGTGGAATTAATGCGTATGTATACCTCTAAACCTAGGATGTGACTATTTGAGTCTTTACGAATCAAAGGATAGTACCCATCAACACTGACATCTGAAGATGGAATTGCAGAATTTAAATTTGTTTCACTGAGTGCAAGCAAGTCTGGTGAATTTTGCAGGAGGTAAGACTCAACTGAAGGAAAGTTGCTTTGCAGACCGCGAATATTTGTAAAAGATATATTAAAACATTTAGGTGGTGGGGATGGTTTTTTAGGTTTAAAATTTTTGGTTACTTTGGTCATGATTTGGGTTTAATGAGAACTTGACTCATTCATAGATAGAGCACAGCCTCCTAATCAATGAGCTATGCAGTTAATTTAATCCATACAAAATTTTTTGTTTTACTTTTTAACTTTTAAGCAGTGCTCGGAAAAGGAAAAAGAGGTAACAGGGTGGTTTTCAGTATTTTCAAAATACCATCTTATAATTGTTATGTATTTTATACTCCTTATACTACTAAAGGTGGTATTTTATACTGCTTATTGTGGTGGACTGCCATATCACCCTGTCCTGTCTTACTTGGAGTACTGTTTTTAAGTATTAGTAAGGACTAATGTTTGATAAAAAAACAGCAGAAAAACAATTTAAAAAATACAGAAAAACAATTTAAAAAATACATTTGTTAAAAAATACAGTACATTAAAAAAACAAAATACTATACAGTAAATATGTATTCCGGTTCTCTTTTAAACAGGATGTTATATGTATTCCGGTTCTCTTGTGTAAACAGGATGTGTGATATGTGTTTAAAAATAATGATTGATTGTATAATACATATGATTGTATAATAATAATGATTTCATAATAATGAAAATTATGATTGCATAAGAGTTAAATCTTAAAAAGTATAAAAGGAAAATTACCATCCCACTCCGTATCTAATGACCATTGCCCTCAATCTGCGCTAGCTGGAACGTATCTCCACCTATCCCCACAATTACAACAATTTGATCAATGAATTTTTATCATTGTATCTGCCTCTAGCTATTCAACCCTTTCCTACAATTTGGTAGGTTTTTTTATTTTTTTTATTTTTTTTAAACATCTTTACTTCAAGCAAGGCTGCAAAAAAACACAATTACAGTTGAGAGTTACTTGAGAGAAAAGATGAAATTTACAGCAAAGTAACAATTAATAGACGACTTAAAAGAATTGCAAATTATATGAATCAGGAAAACAAGATGAAGGTAGCAAATTTCAAAGAACTGGTGTTCGAGGCTTAAAAAAATATTTTTTTAAATGTTTTCTCGTGCCACATATATGCGTTCTATATAATGAAATAAAACTAAGTTTTCTCTTAAACATTTGGCTGGTGTCTAATAGTTTCAAAAAAATATTTAATAAAAAGTAATAAAATAAAATCTGCATTTTTTAATAGTTTTTGAAAGTATAGAAG